ATTTCCTGAAAAAGTGTTACAGCGGGAATTGTTAGAAAAACCCGTCTTTATTGCTTGGGAAAGATTTGATGGATGACTGGCTCATTCCATGACTGAAGGGGAAGAGGCAACACATGGTTCGATAAATTCTTCATCGTCTGATCGGCCCATCAGCTGAGTTCCTCGACCATGCTACCAGCGTTGTTTGTCAACCATTTGCGCAATGATTAAGGGGCTGACTTGAGCTAACCCATACAATTCGCTATTTTAGCCACCCGGGACATTCCTTCTCAATTAGGGCTGGATCTCTAACATGAGGTCCATTCTGACATGGCCAACCAGCATTGGAATCTTCATCCATCAATACCTTCCTGCTTGACAGTCAAAATACATAACTTGAAAAGCTGGACTGAGAAATGAGTTTGGAACAAAAACCTGTATTTATGAGCTATTTCTTGATGGCTAATGGTTCTATGCGAACAAAGAATCCTCTGGACCTGCATAATTATGTGGATCAACGGCGACTGAACAAGGATCCCACCATAAAAGAAATGGCCTTTATTGATCGTCGATCGGAGAAATCGACATCAACCTCATTCACCACCAGCGACCGTCGTAAATCTTCTTATAGTCTTTCGAGTATTTCTGCAATTTTTCGTCCGGTTGTCGTCTGATTTTTACTTTTATAAAAGATTTATCGTTTGAGTTTTGATAAGTTGTTTTAAACTAGGTAGTTATCCTCTTGAATAAAAATCTTTAAAGTTTTAGAGGATCTTCAACGCTTTCTAAGAACTGTTGTAGAAAGAAAACATCGTATATTCTGATGACTTCTTTCTCTACTAATCCTTCCCTTGCAACCATTCAACCAGAATTCTAGGATTTGGTCAGAATACGGACCCCCCTAATTGACAAGAGTCTGAGTAGGACGCTCAAAACAGCTGTCGGTGGGGTACTATTAGTGAATAGGTATTGATGAAACAGCAAGACAACCCATCCAATGAATAGGTTTTGTTCGAGAAGAACGCAAGAAGCTGGGTAATGGTACTGGTTTGGACGAGTTTTCATATTTTGATGACATGCCATCGCCTTCCACTTGTTTTGTCATGTTTATGCCATAATTACTGTAGGATTCCCACATTACTCCATATTACCGTAATAGGAGCATCTAAACGTAAACATTTGTGTAAGTTCTCTTTTCCACTCATTCCTCTGTGAGTCCTCGCCTAATTGGTTGACTGCTGACCTCTCTGCTGGAGCTGAACCAATATCGATTCTATAAATTAGGTAAGTTGTTTTATTTCCAAATACGGGAGGTCAACTAAAGTAGATCAAGATATGCAATACGGTAGGATGTGAAAGTCAGTGTATTGTAATAACGGTTGAAGGAAAAAAAATCACATCTTGGCCCTTCACCGATTCACCCCTTCAACGCGCCCACAGGTGATTCATTCAGAAGAGGAGGGGGGCCCTTTCTCACTTTCTCATATTTTCCAGAGGAAATAGCAAATGGCGTTCAGATTTGCCATCAGTGAGGCTATATAGTTTTTGGAGCCTATGCTGCAATGAATTAGTACGAACTATTTGCATTTCGTCATCCTGTTTCAATTATCAGTTTTCTATTTCATAGAGATGGGTTAGTCTAGTGGAGCCCGCTTAGTTGTCATGGAATCTGATTTGGAACTAAATTTCACGTCCCTTGTAATGATTTACAGTCTCTGTCCTCTTGTAAGCTGACTAACTTCTTTAGTTTAACGGTGCCTTTGTGTTTTCTTAGTAGAACTATCCATTCGCATAACTTTTGAATGTGCCATCTCACTTTTTAAAATCCCAAGAACCTTTTGATTCTCTGTGATTTTTGGTTTTGATTTTTTTGATTTTGTTTGACTGGATACTTCATAACCTGTAACCTTTTTCATTTATTTGCTCTCTACACGACCTATGAATGTGCATGGGATGCGCAGTGACTTCCAAACGTTCAGGACTATCTAAGACAACTCAACTAGACTCATTGCACACAACACTCCTCATCTACGACTAGGATACTAAGAAGCTTAAAGCACTCCAGGCGCTCAATCGACACCTTGATCGACGTGTTATTTCCTCTTTAGAAGTCCTTTAGATCTGCATGTGATGCTTTCCATATTGATTCTATTTTATTTATAGAAACACTTCTATGAAAAGTTAGCTCGCTTTGTTGAGACATTTTAAATATCCATTTTCACGCACCAGAAATTCATTGGGGCGTGAGCATTTTGAAGAGCGCACTATGAAAGTTTCTCTCACTTTCTTCTTGTGAGACAAGTATGTTCATTGCTCCCGTCTCTCATTCTCGCTGCTCATATAATTGCGAACAATTGTCTAAGGGCCGTTCTCCACGGAAGAACCATTCTTCCCCTTTTTTATAGCTTCGGGACCTATCTATGGTGCTTTTGCCCTAATTGGGATCCTTTTTTAGCAGATTTTCTCAGTTAGCTTCCAATCTTGCCAACTTTGTATAAATTGGGGTGAAGCCGAGCTCCTCAATGACGTCTGACTGAATAACCTGTATTTTTCCACTCGTCGCGGTCAGCTTAATCAGCAACTGTTCAGAGCCACAGACCCGCTGTCTTTAGGAAAAGATCTATACCGTTAAGGCAGAATCTAATACTTGGGAGTATGAATATGTACAAATCGTGTGTCAGATTAAAATGAAAATCTTGAGTACCGAATGTTTTGAATTGAAATCAAGTGTGTGTAGTATTTTCAAGTGATATATCAACTCTAACCGGTTCACAAGGCGCCTGAATTCTTGTTGACGTTCCACAGTAGCAGAACTTCGTGAATGTTAGACTCAGACGGAAAAATTTCTTATGACATTCCAACGAATGACGATTAGAATGTGTTATTTTCTTGATTTTCCAGTTTTTTCTTTGCCTTCTATGTTTTCAGCCAATGTGCAGCGTCATCGAGAAACCATCAAAGTGCAAAAGTAATGGGCATTCGCCCACCATTTGACGAATCGCGCTCAGCTGTGACTGTTCTAGACAGCAGCATTGATCAACAAAGTTTCGTGTTCCCGTCATTCAAACCACCTGTTTTATATCTATGCCACCTATTCCAGACTTATTTTTCCGGTGTTAGTCTATGGCTTCTTCTGAAGCAACCTATGGTTCAGAATAGAATATCTAAATCAAAGAAAGAACCATTATAATGGTCAGCAATCGTTCATACCGCTACACATTAAGTTTCTAATCGAAGTTGTTCAGATGTGAATCAGAATTCAGCCTGTACTGAGAATAGAACAACTTTTGTCCTCTGGATGGATACGGGATTTCTTGATAGAATATTTCCGACTAATTCTTGATATCCTAGATGACATCCGACCCATGAGCAAAAGACAATTTAACCATGCTGCTTGCTCTAACCAGAGAGTTCAAATGCTTAGATACCGCTTGCTGAATATGTATGAACATTTCCAAAAAGTATGTTTTTGAAAAAAAATCAAAATGTCAAAGATAGTAGCATCGTTACTATCAATTCCAAAGCCCGGTCATCTTTCAGAGTTTCCTCGCTTGACCAGTGACCAGTAGACTTTTCTACAGAATTGGTCTTTGCTAACCTTTTTTTTTTGATCGCATTCGAAGAAACGTCAATTGGCAGTTGTCGGAAATGATGGCTCTCCTGCTTTATATCCATCTTGACTGTCACAGCTTTCAGACGTCCTTTTGCCAAAACAAAACTGCAAAATTCTAGGAAAAGAGAGAAATATGGTAAATAATACATCTTTATTCTTGAAGCTCCAAAAGTTGTAGGATCTCCAGTTCTTTTTCAAACGAATATTTTTGATAGGCTGAAGCGACAGGGGAAGAGAGCCAACGCTTAGACGTATTGAAGTCTGCCAAAAACCTGCTTAACGCCACCTANTGCCACAGGATCTTGTTCATCCTTCGATTTATTTCAGTTCATGAGCAAAATGATTCATTCCTATAGGATCAACTCTGCTGTGACTTATCTCACTTATCAATGGAATCCATGTTTTTTTGTTCATACAGATAATGGTTGCACAAAACAGGTGGGGGGAGAGTTTCATTCTGCCACATACTTTCAGACGAAGCACTTGCTGGTTAGTGGCGTTAGTTGCCATGGCTCATCAGTGACTAAGAGACTACGCTATTAGTTTGAAAGCTAAAGTTTAGAGACTTCAGTCAATCCCATCTAAGGGATGCGCCCACACATTTGACTTCCATTCTGGATCATAGTGGCGTATTAAATGCGTATGTGGCCTATACAATGACCTGCGGTCGCCAGCCGATGTACAAGTCAGTTTTTTTTATCCTCCCAGACGAGGGCTGGTACTAATTCACTGACCCCGGCGGGATGGAAGTTTCTGGGAAGGCCTAGGCGAATACCGATCCGGGATTCAAACTCGTGATCGTGGGTGTGAGACAGTGCGCCACTTGCCACTACACCACCTCCGTCTCGCTAAGCGTTTACATAGTTGGAGTAGTAACATAGCATGCAAAGTTGTAGAGGAACTTGATACAATTAATAAGTGAGTAGTAGAAAAAATTCGTTCAGCGAAAGGATAGGATATTTTAGCCTTACTTAAAGTAATCCGTTCGCCTTATCCCACCCATCCTAAGTCCTGACATTTTTTTGCGTATGTTCCTTTTCTAGGATGGACCAAAGCTCGACATGATCTACGTATTTTTTGACTAATGTTAAATATTCCTGTTTTCGCTCTGCCAAAAGGCCGGTAGGGCTGCCTGTTGGTGACATGTCGTTTCGCGGTTCACTGAGCACTTTAAAAAGACCTCCTACACAGGGCGCTCGGAGTCGCATCATTCGTGCTCTTCGAAAACCTCCCTGTCAGCAACTCCTTCAAACCGTTTCTGTTTTCCTCCTGTCTTATGCATTTCTCCTTGATATTTTCGATTTCCATTTTGTAACATTCTCAATCACCCATTGTATTGATTTTTTGAAATCGGTCGATTCTCAAACGATTTCAACCTTTTTTTGCATTGTCTGAGCGACTTTCGAGCATGCTAATCCCGAGTGGATCCTCAAATTCGAAGACTGCTTGGACAGTAACGAGACTTGATGCTGTTTTTGCAAAGGCAAATTTGATGGCCCATGTTATTAGATTAAAGATTTGTTCTCAGATTCAGAAAACAATTCTTTATGTTGTCTGCGCTGTTCTAGCCTGAAGATTACTCTTTCAAATCGCCGTGTGATCTCCAAAGTCTGTCAAACCAGAATTTGAACTTTACCTCCATTTCACTGTTCATACTACTAGAGAAGGGTAAAAATAGTTACTTTTTCAGAACTTCAAGGCCAACAAATCACTTAATTTCATGTGGTTCCTGCTTTTTCTCTTCGCACCATCACTTCAGTATAGAGGTAATTAGTTAAGTGTCTAGCGAATACTTCCTCTAATAACTGCACTGGTCCTTTCTGTATGCTTTTCCGCATAATTCTAGTCACAAGAATGGTTAGAATACGTGAAACACTGAATTTCGCGGTTTTTGTTATAGACTGATTCGAAGCTTTTTTCCAATATTCAATGTTCTCCTAAGGTTGAAGAAAGCTTATAAGGTCTGCGACTTGAGCTCTGAAAAAATAAAAACGCTTAATCGTTCTGGAGTAGCTTGATTTTATGAAATATTTCGTTCTGAGAGAGGTATTTTTTATTAAGGGCTGATATGGTAGATTTATATTGATATGTAGACGATCCTATTCTGCAGTAGGGGGTCTGCGTCTGCAGTAACTGGCTTCAATACGGTTGTATTCTTTCTAGCTTGGTCCCGAGTCATCACAGTAGGCGGCATCTTTAACGGAGTGACCCGCTATTACTTCCTTAGCTAGCGTTTAGAAGGCTTTAATGTGTACAGTCCCCTACCCAGACCGAAAGTTATTCAACAAAATTAGCAGCACTTCATGGTGTTCCGGTACCTTCTACCATTTTCAATTCAATGTTCATCATTAGTCACTATCTCAAGTCCGTGAAACAACATATGTACATCGTTTCTCTATTACAATACTATGATTAATGACCGCATGGTGTTCGACGGCTAGTGATGTGGAGCTTAAGCGAGTACATATGTGTGTATTCGAATACGAATACGCCGTAAGTCGAGCTCTGTTCAAGTTTATGTAACTGTCCTTGCAAGGGATCAAGTATTCCACAGGGCGGAAAGGCGCCGATTCCGGCAAATGCACTGAGCTCCGTGACTTCGTAGGAGATAGGGTTCACGACCTATTTGGAAGTTCGTTGTTTAAGTTTATTCCAAAGTCCCATTGTCTTTCAGAGATTTAACTCGATTATGTAAGGGTCATAATGAAGTGAAAAATGAAAGCTTTACTAACAGTGAGAGATTTAGGGTTGGAATTACGCCCGCCATGCAACTTGACCGTAGACGTGGGCAACGAAAGGTGTGATAAAAATGCGACCATAAGAGTAAGTGCAGATATTTAGTCTTCTTTGGCATCTTTGTTCAAAGTAAATCATGAAGTGGGAGGGAAGTTATTACCACGAGCTTCTACCACGTATGTTTGTGCTCTCTTTCAACCTTGCCTTCCATTTTCTCGAAGACTACTGTCGGGCTCAACCAGTCCAGAATGATAGGATCAATGAGTAAAATAATAACCAATGAGCATTTGCTGATCTCATCACTTTATTGCTTTAGCTTCTTAACTGCCATACTTGTCGAGGAAAATCGTGAAAGTAATCTTTTCACGGGATATATGAGTGTCGACTTAAAAAGGCGATATAGTTACGCAGCCCTTTCCCAAGTGTAGAATTCCTCATTTTTTAAGCTATCAGTATTCATACTTCGTAGTGGAGCTGGTGTTGTGGCAAATGGCGCACCACCACACACTCACGGTCACTGGTTCGAGTCCCGGATCGATATCTGCCTGGGTCAACCTAGCCTTCTATCCCTCCGAGGCCCTGCATTGGGTACCAGACGTCTGAAAGGACTGTGGCTTATACATCGGTTGGCCACCGCAAGCAAGTATTGTATAAGGCCCATACGCATTCAATACGCCGAAACGACTCTGAATTGAATTTGAATGTGGGGGCTAACCCTTAGACAGGATTGGTTAAACGCCAAAAGCCTTTAGTCTTATTTTTTGAATCGTATTTTCTGTGAACATGATTTTCAGTATCATTTGGATGCAGAAACGTTGAACTGTCTACCGTTCAAATACACAGGATGTGGTGGAAATGCAAATAACTTCCGTACCAGCTCAGAGTGTCGTTTCAAATGTTTGCCAAGTAAGTAAAGCAGAGTTCTAGTCTCTTCAAAAATAATGTGAGTTTCTCCCAAATTCGTAGTTATAAATGCTATTGATGTTCAGTGGACTACTTGAAATGCCCAGCGAACTTTCCTCCTACGCCTAGACCCGACGGTACTGTTGATTGCGATGAGGTAATAAAAAAGTGTCCGGAGGGTTCCTCGTGCCAACGAGGTTTTGTTGTGGGCATTTGTTGCGACAACAAAAATCTTGGTCAGTTTTCTTTTACGTTTGGGGATGGCTCTACATGAGAGTCTATATAATTTTAGGAGGGTCAACGTATTCTTTTCAGAAAAATACCATGCCAATGTGAAACCAGACTGTGGTCACAAAAAGATGGTAAAGGATAAAACGAATGAGTTTAACGTGAGTTTCAGTTGCTAAGGCACTATCCAGACTCATGCTCATTCGCCAGCATTGCTTGAGAGTCCACTTTTCTGAGGGGTCATGAGCTCATGTCCATTTAACACAAGAAACGCCATGAGTTAGTTTTGACTGGATGTTTTGTCAACTGTTATTTCGCCATTTACGCAATCCGAAAGTCTCACAAGTTTGACGAGTCATACAGGCTAAGACAAACTCCAGCCTCGGACCAGTTTCGAACACGTGCTTGTACTATCTGAGCCTGAGCTCCACGCTCTCCATCCCCAACGCACTACTATTAATTACTTTTTAGTGGCTAATTCGGATAACCATACAGACTGATCCACCCATTTGAGCTCAATCTCACTTTGCTATCCGAATATTGATATGTCAGCCAATATTCTTATGTCTCTTATCTAGTGGTGAATATAGTGAAGGTTTCCAATCTTTCCTCAAATTGCCAAAGGAAAAAGTGTACTAACTCTATTTCGAGCCCTAAATTTCTCTAAGCACGAAGCTATTTCGGACCAGACATGTGGCTGATTTCTTTCGCTAATTTGATTTTTCGCGTTTCGTTGGCCACATCCAGGCAGGCGTTATCGCGAAGTAAGAAGACATTAAGGTTTCCCCAGCGAAACTCTCGCACTACGTCGGCCAATTTTTGCAACTGGTTAGCCGTCACCCTAGTGCCACTGTCTAGCAGCTACCAGTAGATCATTCCAGCAGGCCCACGAACAACACAGTAAAACCTGCTTTTCATAAAGGCCTGCTTGAAGCTCCGTAGGTGGCTTTTCTCCTCGCGCAACCCAGTGGCGCTCACGTGGATGGTTCACGTAAAGCACCCAGCGCTCATCTACGGTCACTACGTCTCGTATGTCCTTCCGACAGGGACGAAGCAGAAGAGACTCAGCCACGTGCATCCTGCTCGTCTCGTTAGACAGGCGTAGTTCATGAGGGACCTTTTCACGAGCCCTTCTATGTTTATTTTCGAAATCCTTTAAAAACACTCTACAGCATTTAGGCACGGAAAGATTTGAAAAGGGTTTTGGTTTTTTCCTGGAGGAACATGTTCAGTGTTGCAGGACTTATCTTCCAACCTGATAATTATAGGTGTTACTGACTTGGGAATACCTACAGGGTGACGCACATGAAGTGTGACGCAGAACAGTAGCACAAAAATTATACANTACAAGCATCACAAAATTGTAAACAACATATCACAGTTCGCATGCTGAATGACCATATTTCGCTTCAATGCAAGCATCCAACCTCTTTCGGAAGTTTTCAAGAATGCGCGCAATCGTTTTCATCCCCCACTTCTACAAGAGAGCTTTTTTTTAGAGAGTCCAAAGACCTGCGTTTGAAAGCGGAAGATTTTTGCTCCAGAATCGTTGATACAGCAAAATCCAGTGGATTGAGATCGGGGAGTTTGAAGGTCAAACCTGCTCCGCCCCAAAAACCTGGAAGCGTGATTTCAACAATGCAGCATCTTCTTTTCGCTGTGGGATGGTACCCAATCCTGGGAAAGGTGCAGCTGACGTTCATCGCCTTCCTTTCCGCTCAAGCGATCACCGCATCCTCCAGCCCTGAAGCCCATAAGTTGATTTTTTATATCCCGTCACACTTCATGTGGGTCATCCTGTTTGTTGCACCATGACTTCAACCTCCTTTACTTAGGATATGTTTAAGTTATGGAGAAATTGTTGAAAAAGCGAAGAAGTCTGGAATTAGCGAAACATTCATTCGTACTAGACTGATTATTCATCATTAAACGAAATAGATTTAGATGATCCTGCTGGGGAAGTCTTGTGACCATCACTTCTGTCCAGATGGAGCCGAATGTCACCGCGGCGCATACTTCGCCTACTGCTGCCAATAGCCGTCGTCGATTCGATCGCTTATGTCTCTTGCCATCGTGTTGCTAAGCTTTATTGTGACGTGTACATTATGCTAAATGATAATAATGAGATCATTGGTCAGCACTGGTACCTGTAGAAGTCATTTAATGAACGTTTTCATAGAGGGTGTTTTTGTGTTTGATAGGGTATTATGGCCAGGGTGCTCTCGGGGATCGTGAGCATCACGAACCTCTTTTTTTCGGCGATTGCACCGGATGTCTTTTGTACACTGGATGAAAAGTTGAAAATCCGCAAAATAGACGTGTACGATGGTTACCTGCCGAAATGGGTATTCCTGGAATGTGTGTTCCTATACCCAACGGCGTGCCCATTTGGCGATCGCGGGCTGTGAAGGAGAGGACTTGGATTCTCATAGAGGATCGCGGTGATCGTCCTGAAACCACTGCTGTTAGGCGTGAGAAATTGGGTACGAGTTCTGCCACCCGTCTGAACCTAGCATACCTTCATGATAGATTAGATTTTGAAGAGAACCATCTGACCATAGCAGGGTTCTGAATGATCCCGTAGGAAAGGATTCACGTGTGTAATGGAATCATCCGCATCTTGTTGTTCGCCGGTCGCCTCGATACCGGCAATATCTCCATTCGTCCCGATCGTGAGCCAAAGTAGTACAGGAGATTGTCCTCGCTAGAGGAACCCGGAGCACTGCATTCATTCTTTTCAGAGCTCTCACAGAAATGTCTAACTATCGCGTATATGTAGAACAGGCGTAGAAGAATGGGATTGGGAAACGAAGAAAAGGGGTAGTCTAATCCGCAGGCCTTCATCGTAGAGTAGAAGTTTAGAAGAGAGCTAACAGCCGTGGAGGAGATAAACTAGACTATGTTCTCGTAAGAAGACCGTACAGTGGTAAAAGCTGCATCAAGCCGAAAAAGAGGGCGTTAGACGAAAGATGCTGGAAGTTGATCCCTCAAATGAAGAAGTTCCTTTCAGCAGATCTGGAGCAACACTGTGAAAGTCATCCTACGATATACTAAACAAACGGTGGGTGTGACCAGAGTTGGAATGGAGGAGACAAGGAAGCGTGCGTCAGTAACGGGAAAACCAGCTAGTTACAAAGCAAAAAAGCCGTCTGCAATGCCGGTAAAAAACACAAGCTCCACGACCCTTGGCAGCATAAAGAGGATGCAAAAGTCTCGCTAAAGCCGAAACGGAAGTGATAGCTCCACTACGAAGAAGAAGAAAAGTTTGTTCTATAGCAGGCAAAAGAGCAGCGATGAGATGTCAACGATTGTGGAGTAGTGAGGGCTGTAAAATGCAGAGACTATACAATCCTTATGTAGCCTGTTGAGGGCAGATAGGAGGAATACTTCGACAGGCTTCTGAAAGAAAATTCACCATGAGAACGGCCCCTATATAGGTGCCAGCTGGCCCTTTTGCACTTTGGACAAAGGATAAGATTCAACGAGAAATAGGGAAGTTAGAGAATTTGAAATGGGTTCCAGTACATTTATGGGAGCCGCAAGAAGAGCAAGGAATCAGGCGGCTCACCTTAGTCGTGAACGATGGGATCAACGGAGAAAGAACACGCGATGCGTGAAGAAGCAGTACTGTTGTCGACGTCTTCGAGTAGGAAGGGAATGCGATGGATTGTTACAACCACCGTGACATCAGATTGACTGCGTATACCACTAGACGACTGCGCCATAACCGTTAGGCTATGGAAACTGTCAACAGGTAAAGAACGAGAACCGAAAGCCAGAGAGTATCCTATCTTCGTTACTAGACAAGTGGTGGAGAATCATGGAGAAAGGCGTAGACTCTGCGGTCTAAATTCCTGTATGCGGAGAAGGCGTTTGACTGCCTACCGCCACAGTTCTCTCGACAGCGCTCCGAGAATGAAAGGTTGTTGACCGTCCACTACCTTCATACCGTCTGAAAGAAGAATGAGATATATTGGCTCTCAGAGCTTGAACAGCATTCGAGGACGGCGACAAAACAACTTAGGCGGGGGGAAGGTGGGAAGAGCACATCAGCCAGGGAAACGAAAAGCCAATACTTCGAAGGTGTGCTGGCGAAGAGAAAGTCACAGTAAGGTCAAAACACTATAGGGTCCGTGGCAGACCAGATGATTGTAGATGACCCGGAGATTGAGCACGAGCCAACCGCCCTGGTAAAAAAGCTGTAGAAAGCGAAACTCTAGCAGCGAGGTAGTGCTCGTCAATCTTCGTTCCTTTTCAACAGAAGCTTTACGATTTTCGTGACCTGAATCTTTTTTCAAGTGGGTGCCTCTTATTATCAGACGGACGCCAGTAGTTCGTGGGCTCTGAAGGAGCAAGGCCTAAGTGACCGATTCGCTGATTTCGATTAGTACGACCTGCGAAGACCTACATAGCTGACTTCTTGTCCGACTGTGGGCCCATTTTCTTTCTATATTTGGACTCTATGTTATCATTGTCGGTTCTGTGTTGCATTGATGAATTTGGAAAATGTTTTGTGTCGCCTCGCATTGGAAATAACCGTCAACCAGACATCAGTCTTTAACGAAGGGGCTTTACAAGAATATGTCCGGTCGTATTAAGAACTACACCGATACAGAGAACCTTCTCAAACTGGCAGTGTATCAGAAGGTCATGTTGAAATTTAGGATCCCGCGAAGAATCAATTCTGAACCCCTTGCTCTCTCCTCCAGCACATTATGCGAATAGAAATCGTCAATGGGCCCAAGACTAACCTCCACAAGCAACGTTGAGCGAAGAGCAGAGAATTGCTGCTGAACTGACTGAAAAAGTACCGCAAGATAAGGTCCTCTAGTTGGTCATGGGGAAGAGTCAGAAATGTGGAAGATGTTTATATTCGAGTAGTGAAAAGCTGTCGTTTATGCTCAGCATTGCCAAAGCTGTAAACGATCGAGCTGGGAGGGTATGAAAGGTATTGTGCTTTTCAAAGTTCTCTGTGACCTGTTGATCTTCTGTACAACTAAATTAGGCTGTTTATATGAGCCACAGAAAAAGGAAGGCAGGAATCAGATGATCTCGTAGAGTAAAATAAGTTTTTATCTGCGTTTATTTCCCGAAATTTGAAACGTTTCTCTACTATCTTGATACCAGTCCATTTCACTTGTTTTGCCATTTTTTCGTGTAGGAGATGTTGGATATAATATGACCAGTCGGATCGCCCGGCTAACGCCAGGCTCTCCTCCTTCTTACGGGTTCGCCCGGCTACGCCGGGCGTTCCTCCTTCCTGTGACAAATTTGCTATGCGTAAATAATAATTCGGATTCTCTTTTTTCTTAGAAAGCTCTACACCCTAAGAATTAGCTCCGAATTGGGAGTGATTGTTCTTGTAAGCCATCTTCGCTGTGTCCGAATAGAACATCGTATAATATCACAAAGGCGATTATTCAGAGAAAGATAGTATTCAGAGAATTCACCGCGGCTGAGGCTACTATGTTAGCTACCATCAATGTTCCTCAATGGTAGCGGTCGTAATCTGATAGCAAGAAGTGGACCAAATTCATCTCCTTATAATCACGCCACTTACCTTTCTTGTCGAATGAAACATATCAAAAATCAAAGCTAGATCGTAAATAAGAAAGGCGCTAGGAGGTGATTGGTGAGTGGATCTTCTTCTCTGGGGCCTCTTCTATTGTCAGTGTTTCCATCCTCCCTCCTCCTACTGATTTTGCCCTCCAAGTCCACGGGATCAGGAGTTATGGATTTCCACTCATTTATTTCGCGGAAACCCGTCCCTAGGGGGTGGAGTCCGGCCCTACTACTCATCATAAGTGCTCCCATACTGCCGCCTGCCTCCTATCAAGTTTAAACGCCCTGAAGCCAAACTGAAAATTTTGGCGTAACCTCGCCTTCTATGAGCGGGGTCCAGTCCTCCCACTTACGATAAATGTTCCCATCCTGCCCCGTTCACTCCTACCAAGTTTGAACGTTCTAGATCCACGGGGACAGGAGTTATGAATTTCCGGTCAGGCACACACACCGACACACACACACACA